AGATTTTCCCAAAGCTTCCGCATCATCAATTTGTTCTTGAGCATCCTCCAATCGATTTTCCACATCTAGAACTATTCCCCAAAGTTAGTTATACCCCGCACTTTCGATATTCGCAAAAATATACTCACTCTCATGTTCCAACATTGACTCTTCCTGTTCCAATCCGGCCAACCTATCCAAAACAATTCTCCTCATAGAATTAAGATTTGCAATTTTATTATCAATCCCATGAATCTCACTACTCGCCATATTCTTCCGAATACCCATCATCTCCAATCGATGATTCAGAGCCGCTTTTTCTTTTTTCAACCTCGCGAGACTGGGTGGACCATCCCCCTCCGACCCCCCCTCACTAGCATTATCAAGAAGTTTCCTACCCCTCGAGATTCGCCTCTTGTGCTTTTTTCCCTTCTCCTCACTCGTTTCCGGCAGCGTTGCTTGAAACCCTTGAAATAAGGAATAACTATTATCATTGTCGGGAATATTCCTCAACAGTTCATCTGGCAAGAAAGTCAAGGCCCGATATTGAATTTCCGACGTCGACAACTTTGAGCGCACCAAATCGGTCGGGGTAGTTTTCGCAAAGGAGAAGACGCTGCGTTGAAGATTGGGTCTGCGAAGTTGTTTATGTAAATCGCTCATGGCATTTTGATAATGGGTGCTGGAAGTGGGATCGATAGGACCTATGAGATGGCCAGCGGTCGTGGTAACCTTTCGACCAAAAGCTTCTAACCCTCGGGTCTGATCGAGATAGATACCCATTAGCAAGCACAAATTAATGGGAACATGAATAAAAATAGAAGAATGGAATAGGATATGCAGATAAGGAAGCTCTGGAGTCGAGCTAAGAGAAAATTACAGCACAAACATACCGATATCAAAGCTCCATCTTCATCCTCTTCTGCCCCGTATGAAGAGGCATTGCGGCTACTGGAGCCAGCCATACAATTGACTTTTTCCACAGTACCGATGACAAGTTTTCTGCTCAAGATTGATAATATTCAATGCAGGATAATTGAAGAGCGGTATTTGGTTGGTTCCCGTGGAAAGTGTGTGTTGGCACAATTAAGTTTTTGATTTTGGGAAAGAATTTTAGAAGTTTTTTAATTTGTTCATTCTGTCAAGATCTTTTTGGAAGATACGATACGATACGGGAGGGGACGATAGGATACGATAGGATAGGATAGGATACCGGCTTGAGACGGGTATGATGAATGGATTTTGAGATAGTTTGGTAATTGACTGGGGGAGGTGGTAGGGTAGTAGGTAGGTAGTGAGACTGATGGAATGGAATTGATAGGTGGGAAAGATATGCATAAAAGGAAAATGGATATCATAAAATTCCAGACTGGGCGGGATGAAGGGTAATTTTATGCATAATATTTGTACAAACCTTAGTACCTTTACCTAGGTACTACCTATCTAGGTATTCAAGCTCGGGTCCTTTTGACAATCCAAGAGCTATGCCCAGGTGTACGTACAGCTGTAGACCATAGATACCTACATAGTAAGATTACATACAATACCAATACCATGATATATCCATTCATCGTAGCACCAGAATTTCCCAATATATATAATATATAAAAAAGCACACGAGCAATAGAGCAGAGTACAATGTATCACACCAAGAGAGCACAACAGAAGATCGATCCCCTTGCTTGGGATTTTCTCCGGAATATTCTTTACCCCCACCATTCATTTTTATGTTATGTACTCATTATTATGGATGGTGGATGGTGGATGGTGTGGATGGTGAGTAGATGGCAAGTGGTAAGTGGATTATGACTGTATTTCTGTATTTCTGTACAATATACAATATAAAATAAAAGCTTCATAATCGATCAGACTAGGTATCCATCAGAGATTCAAATATACCACATCCATAACAAATTATAATCTCATTCTCACCCTCATTCTCACCAATCCAATCCAATTACTTCCTCTCACTCCTCACTCCTCATTCACTCCCTCTCTACATCTCCGGATCCGAGGAGAAATCCCCAAACCTTATACAAGCAAAGACACCAAACTCTATTTCCATCTCTCTTACTTTTCTTTCCCTTCCCTCCCCTTCCCTTCTTCTCTGTACATAAACTTAAAGAGCGAACATCAGCTGAACCAAACCAAACTCAACTGCACTGCACTGCACTGCACTGCACTGTTCGAATCTTTTCTTCAAGATTCTTTGATTTCCACATCCAGACTTTCTACATACAGACTTCAAAAACTCAACTTTACTTTACTCTCTCAACCCAATTCAGATCCAAATTTTGCAATTGGTATATGATAGTTACGAATTTCATCATGGATGCAGCAATCGATCTTTCAGATGCTTCTAAAGCTCTTGATTTGGCTAATATTCGTTTTCAACTTATGTATGTACTTTTTCTCTCTCATCCCCCCATCTTCCCCTCCCGCTTCTCCCTCTCCCCCCCTCCTCCAAACCCCCAAACTAACCTCCCTCCCACCTCCCAGCCGTCTCGAAGACACCATAACCTTCCACCTAATCGAACGTGTCCAATTCCCCCTCAACCCCACCATCTACATCCCGTCCGCGCTCCCCCTCCCCAACACCACCCTCAGCTTCCTGGACTGGCTCCTCCACTCGCGAGAAACCCTCGACTCCCTCATCCGCCGCTTCCAATCCCCCGACGAATACCCCTTCTTCCCCGACGCCCTCAAACCCCCCATCCTCCAACCCCTCCACTACCCCACCATCCTCCACCCCAACACCGTCAACGTCAACGCCCAGATAAAAGACCACTACATCAACACCTTCCTGCCCAAAGCCTGTCTCCAAACCGGGCGCTCCGACCGCGGCGAGCGCGAAGAAAACTACGGCTCCGCCGCCACATGCGATATCAACTGTCTGCAAGCGCTGTCGCGCCGCATCCACTTTGGCAAATTCGTCGCCGAGTCCAAGTTCCGCGCCGAGGAAGAAGCCTTTACGAAGATGATCCGAGCGGGCGATCGCGAGGGCTTGGGCCGCGCCATTACGAATGAGAAGGTGGAGTTGCAGGTGCTCGAGAGATTGAGATTGAAGGCGCGAACGTACGGCACGGACCCCAGCTTGAGTAATGGCAAGGCGAATGGAGAGGAGCCGCAGGGGAAGATTAATGTAGAGGCGGTAGAGGGCTTGTATAGGGATTTTGTGATTCCGTTGACGAAGGTGGTGGAGGTGGAGTATTTGATGCAGAGATTGGAGAAGAAGGAGTAGATGTTGAGAGGGACATTGTACTACTATATAGAAGATGTGAGGATGTGGAGGATGTATAGATACTGATCGTTTCGATTATGTTCTTGTCCGCAAATAGAGCATTGGGGAGTTTCTCGCCTTTCACTTCCCGTGGAATGATTCAGATCCATAGATGTACGAGAGAAAAGGACAGGCATGAGAGAATACCAATTGTGGCAGAGAATGTTCTTAAAAAAATGTATACCCAAGCGAATATCAAAAAAAGGAGAAAGCAAATAGAAAATAGAAAATAGAAAATCAAAAATCAAAAATCAAAGGAAACAACCAAAAGGTTCCCAAGTCATACATGATATTAGTATTGAATTTTATTTATTTCTTTCATTCTTTCATTCATTTCTGTCCTCTCTTTGAACATCTCTTAATTAGGAGCACCCAAATATTCCCCCAAAGCTTTAACACATTCTTCCCACTTTGCCTTCTCAATCAAGATCAATTCTCCCACCGCTCTAATCCCCATTTCCTGAAAGGCCCTCTTGCTATCCGCCATGCCCTCCCCCTCATCCTTCTTATACTCAAACTCCTCATAGGCACAGCTAAATCTCTTCAACACCTCATCCTCGGGATGAAAATAAAACACCTCTCCACTCGGCTTGCCCTTCCCCTTACTCTTCTTACTCTTCGGGCCCTGCTCCTCCCGATCCAACCTCGACTCCACCTCGCGATACCCCCTCGACACAACCAAATAATACTCAAAAGCATACGGTTCCTTATCCTCCACCGCCGCCTCCACCTCATCCACCAACATGCCATACATAGGCGGCGCCACCTCCGCCGGCACATTAATCAACCTCTCCGCCAACACCACCCCTACATGTTCCTCCCCCCTCAAAACCCGTTGCAGCCTCCCCCCCTCCTTCACCTGACTCTCCAAATACCCCTTCAACCCGCTCACCGCGGGGCTCAGTCCCCCTCCCTCCCGATTCCCCCAATGCACATTCAGCACCGTCATAAAGGCATACGCATCCGTGCCCTCCCCATCCACCTTCACCGTACTGCCAATCGTATCCTGCGCGACCACCTCGTCGGCCAGCCCGCTCAGATCCAACAGCTGACTATCCACGTCGAACAATTGTCGAATCAAGCTCTTGACCCCGTGGAAATCAATCTCTCGGAAATTAAACCATTCGAAATCAACGTTGAGGATATCTTCGCCCTGTGGTGGTTCGCGCTGTCAGTATACTTATCTATGTATTGTTGGTTATACCGAGAAGAAAGAGTGCAGCGGTAGAGAATCCGCATAAAGCGATTCAAAAAATAAATCCCATCTGTCCATCCCCCCAAATCATCCTCCCAAATCATCCTCCAAAACCATCCCCCCAAATCATCCTCCCCAAAGAAAGCCCCAAAGAAAGCCCAAAAGAAATCCAAAACTCACATCACTTCCACTATCATTCTCACCATCCTCTCCTGCACTATGAACCGGCGCATCAGGAAGTTCTTCCGGATCGCGAACTCTCTTCTTAACCATTGTGATATCGTGTATATGGAGAAATATTTATGTGACGTCTTCTCAATGTAAAATTTGAACTTGTGAAAGTCTTTAAAATCAAAGTCGAAGTCTAACAGTCGACCGCTTTGGCAGAATTATAAAATTTGGGGAAATAAGGACGCTAGTAGCGGGGCATCATTCGGTTGATTCTCTCGTTTCTCAGGAGATAAAACGGTCTATGGATGGGCACGCAATTCACAACATTCAATTCATTGGGGATCTCATCCATGAGTATTATTTAGACCTTTTTCCTTTCAAACTTCTTTTATTTTGATTACCTATGAAACGAACCTAACAGCCCATATAGATAATCATTCTATCATACTCCCTTTAGTCTCCTATTGAAAAGCCTGCTTCATCCCCAATAATGAATGAATCTTCTTCAATAGTCACTATTATGCAAATCAAAAATGCCTCCATCCTCCCAATTTTGTCTCCATCCGAATAGCAGTATAAACGAATTTGGGTATATGTAATAAGAAAGAAAATGGTAGTAGTATCAATAATCTAACAACGTTCTTCCATAATCAAGCAGCAAAAAAATGATGCCATCATTAAAAAATTAATGCCAATCCATGAGCACATAAGCTCAAGACCGGTAATTTGTGATGTGATACCGTCAGTAAAATCTAAGACGTAACGGGGCGTGAAATTTAATTCGAATGTAAATGAAGTATTGGAATGCGTGTGAATATAGGATTGGTTGATGTGCGTGTGTGAAGAGAATCTTATAGTCCTTAACGCCTGTACTGAATGAAATACGATGATCGTGAAGCCGTGAAATTATTGATTAAGAAAGAAATATGAAAAATGCCGTCGTTATAGGCCTGGTGGACCACCAGAATCCGTCGAACCATCACCATCAATTGTCCTCCTCCAATGATCCGGAAGACAAACACAAACTAATGGGAAAGCTTTAATCTCGCCACTAACATTTGGAGAATCATTTCTTCGTCCAGAGGTATTCGAAACCCCACTATCGCGTTGTACTTTATGCTTTTCGTCCCACTCATCGGCGCGCTCATTTATCATGACTCCGGTAGCCCATCCATCATCCCAAATACCAACAACCTTGAGCATATCACCACGTTCCAATGAAAATTCATCTCCGGCACGTGGTTGATACGCCCATAAAGTTGCAACTTTGTCGCCAGGGTGAATTTCATCTTGGGAATAGTAATCCTTGAAGAATGGTAATTGTTCGGATTGATTACTAGCCACGCCGCGGGGTGATGACATACTACCAGTACCAGGAGTTTGAGGATCGTCAAGTCCAAGAACTGAGCCACTGGAAAGAGAACCGGTTCGCCTATTTGGAGGTGGTCGTAGAATTCCACCTTGCATACCTGATCTAGGACTATCCCCAAAATCACTCGAAGAAGATTCATGATCATGTCTTCGTCCGGCAGCATAGCCAGCCGCACCTCCCAATACAGCGCCACCAATTGCTCCATCTCTATCGCGTGGGGAAGAAGAATGTCCAGAATGAGAATGTCCTTCGAGTGCCGACATTCGGGCGATTCGTCCTCCAGGAAGTACTTCGTATCCTTCAGGGGTAGTATTAGAATTTACGGGATTATATGCCATTCCATTATTTCTGGCAGGTGTCGGTTGATTTAAGATACTTCCATGCTGACTTCCACGTCGTCTACGCAAGCATATGAAAAAGATCAAGCCAACAAGTGCAGCCAAACCAAGTAGTGATCCAATAACGATACCTGCGATAGCACCACTGGATAGTCCCTTATTCGATGTTGAGGAGGCGGCGGCGGCACCGGTGGAAGATGATGTTGGAGTCGATGTTCCTGAACTTGAGGAGGCAGTACTTGTCGAGAAGGTGATGAATCCTGTAATCGTGGGTAATACTACACCAGCGCAACGTGATTCTGCTCCTGAATTATAACAGCAAGTATCTGTACTGTTTTGTCCACCAGTACCACAGTACTGACATAGTCCGAATGTGCTGTTACCATATCCACAATTATCTGGTTCATTAGTGGAACCTTCTACACAAGATCCAGTCAATGAATCTGATGGTAATGCGCAATTTGTAAAGTCGGCACGGATTTGAGAAATAGCATTGCTTCCGGGACTTGGACAAAGTTGACTATCAGCAATTACTATCGATTCGCTCTCCGCGAATTGTGCCTATTTTGTATCTGTCAACTTCAAGTCATACCAAAATTGAACATGATGAAAACTCACGCAAGAATCTGCACAAACTGGTGGTGCTTGGGTATCCGACAAACTACATGATGATTTGGAATTCTGTATTATAGAATTACATATAACTGTGGTTGTATATCGAGCGTAAAGGTTTGATGTATTTGTAAGATTTATATTTCCGCATCCGAGAAGTTGCTGGTACCTGCATGATCGTGTTAGACAAGCATCGGCATATGTAAATAATGATAGGGATGCATACTTTGACTGCACATAGCTTGTTTGAACGTATGCACTTAATTGAGTGTCGAAAGTAGCGCGATCGGAAACATATGATAAAAATGGGCTAAATAGCATATAGTCAGTGTTGATCGATAAACGCTTGTTGGTAGGGCGAGGTCAAAACATACAAAAGTCCGGTCAAGTTTGTATCAATTGAAGCGGAAGTAAATGCAGGACATTGAGTAGAATCTGAAAGAGAAATACAATCTGCAATTGCAAGAGGTACACTTGCGAGAATTGATATTATGGCTGCCTTGGTAAAAGATCCAGTCCACCTTTGTTTTCGTTTGCTCCTGTTGTTGAGTCCTTTCCCATCTTTCGATATTACTTTCGCCATTGTTTGAGATGGGGATAGTTTCAACGGTTCGTATGATATGCTATTGCCGCAATGATAATTCTCATTGTTGGATGTCGAAAAGTAAGTTGTGGTGAAGGTGGAATCGAAATTGTTTCCCAAATTTTGCTGGATCATAATTTCTTTCTGTAGTCGTCCTTGCTCATGTACAAGCATTCGAACCCTTTTGCTATATCCTTTTCCGTCTTCCTAGAATCGACTCTTTCGATCACCTCAGCTCAATAAAAACAAAAAGTACCACCCAATATCCAAAGAGGCGATTGTTGAATTAACAGATTTTGTAGAAAAGAAAAGAAAAAAGAAGTTCTTCCAAAAACGAATTGAAAATTCAAGAGAATGATTCTGGTAATTTTGTAGCGATCGAAGTTGAGTGAGGTATGAACAAAATGAGTTGAACGAAATGAACAATATTCACTGCAATAGAGGCAGAAGAAGAAGAGGAAGAGGAAGAGGAAGAGGAAGAGGAAGAGGAAGAAGCAGGACCCAAGGACCCAAGGATCAAAAGATGGTTGAACTTTGATCAACCTCTTCTTTCCTTTAGTGACCGCCTCTTGTTTGGAGAGAGAGAGAGAGAGGGAGAGAGGGCTTTGTGTAGGAAGGAATATTTAGGTTTTGGATATTCTCTACCGGTACCTGAGGAAAGAAAAGGACCAGAGGGAAAAGAGCGGAAAGGGCCTGAAACTCAAGCACATACTAGGTAGGTGAATGAATGAATGAATGAAAGGAAGGTTTTGGCTGTTTGGCGTGTTGGCCGGAAGAATGTCTAAAAAAGGTTCGAAAGGTCTGCGCTCAAAAGCCAAAGTGGGAAAAATAGATAAGATGCACTGCTCTGTGCCTACCACTCTGCGCACCGTACCCCTTGTAGTCGACAGGGAGTCTTCGCGGGAGACGGAATTTAAAATGAGGGTGAAGTAAAAAAGTATCGTGTGAGGGAATTGTGAGGGAAATGGCCAAATAGACCTTTTTACAGCGTGGTCAACAAGAGGAAGGATTCATTGGATGAAAGATTCCGAAGAATTGGTTTTGGTAGGTATCTTGTAAAATTTGAAGGTTTGTCTGGATTTGTACAATATAATACCAATCAATACCAATATCAATACCAATACCAATACCAATATGATAATGATAGAAAGATGCCATGCCATGCCATGCCATGCCATGCACCTGCAAGTCTGGATGTCTCTTGGGGGAAAAGCTTGCGTATCTCTTACCTATGACCAGTATGGGAAGGCTACGATAGAACTTTCTGAGTTGTCATAATGAAGAAATATAGAACTCAGGACTCAGGAGAGATTTCATAGTAAATCTACCAGGTAGGTAATCATGTTGATATTTACTGGTCGATAAAGGTTAGTCCGTCAGAAAAAGAAAGCATATATCGGTGAAGTTCATCGGATAAACAACCACACGCCTTCATACGGAGTACGCTTGTTTCCTTTCGTCCCGTCGTTCCCCCGCTAAATACCATGGGGACATGGCCAACACAATACCGGTACCCGTTCGACCTACTCACCTCCACCCGAGCTACCCTCAGCCACTTATCAAGTATCTACGATAGCTATAGGTAGATTGCCCAGGTGGTGATTGATGATTGATGATTGATGATTACGATCAACTCCGTTTGATAGCCACGTTCTAATGTTACACTATATCATCACTAGCTATTAACTGGTACATCTCTCTCACACTGGCTCACTGGCTCACTGGCTCACTGGCTCACTGGCTCACTGGCTCACTGGCTCACTGGCTCGACTGGCGGACTACAACTACAACGCATTGCGAACAGACATCGAGAATAGAAATTATCCAAACGTTCTTGCCATGTTCATCTTGTCCTAGTTCGTTTCAATAGTGAAAGAAATGCTTGTTCTGTTAATAAGTCTGTTAAGTCTGTTAAGTCTGTAAACATGCCGCTTTTCAATGCAGACTCCTCAAAGGCGAAATGTATGGCTAATAAGACTCCATTGGATTTAGGTAAAGAGGCTGGGAAATGAGAAAGATGCAACTTTCCATAATAAAAGGGCGGTTACGCTGAAGAGTACGAGGTCTGATTATTCATTACCTAGTACTTATTGAGGTGGTTAATGTTTTCTTCTTGTCCAATCATTTAATTGCATCATCAAATGTTGAAGCATCGTAATGTCGTCGTTCCTTTCTCTCTCATGGTACAAGAGTACTTGGAGGTAATTATATATATGCGATTGAGTGCCACAGAAACCTTTCTTCTGGGAGATTCATTTCGCTGCTTGAAGTCCACATGGAGATGAAAGACTGGTATGCGGGTTGGAATCGAGGGTCATGTAAAACAAGATAACCCCCTATCAAATGTTTCTCACCATCTCATCTATGGAACCAGATCTAGGACTGAACGATTTATTGACTTGTCGTTCGTCAAAATTAAAGTTGCCATGCCATGTCATGTCAGAGACTTTTGACATTGTGATGTGGCACTCATGCAAGACATCGTCTCTAATCCAAAACTCTCAGTGAATGCATACATCATCAGTCAATGCATTGATCTACATTGCTTCGAAAATAGTAGTCGTCGCCCTTGCTTGTATCTTCGCCGATGTTTTCAAAATAGTTATTGTGAAATCTGTCGGTCTCATAATCCCTGATGGCTGTGTTGCTTTGCTCTAGGTTTTCGGAAATGAGATCCGATAGTTTAGATACTGGTTGGTTTGATCGTCCGGAAAATAAATTCGTAAGCTTACGGAGTAAACTTGAGCTGGCTGGGCTGGGCTTCTTGGAAAGTTGGGATTGGTTTTGATGCAGGTCGCAGCTGGTGTGTATGTGAGATTGTTCTCTTCTCCCTTCCTAGAAGTTCCAACTTCCTACATCTTCAAGTCTGTGAAACTGGGTAGACGCGAAAGCGATGTAGTTGGTAGAGGTGGTCGATGTGGCTGGCGATGGGGCTTCCTTTGAGGTTCATCCAACGTTGGAAGGAAAAGAAAGGAGCAATATCAACAAACCCCTATCCTTCGTCATTATGATACAATTTCGAAAAGGAACGTTCTCGGTGAAGCTTCAAAAGAATATACACAATGCGTTCTCGAAGCTTCCTGCCCTACGATTGATCGTCAATAGAGGGGTAGATGAAAAGCCAATCAATCAGATATCTCAATACAGTAAGTGGAGAGGAATTCCCATACTTTTTCACAGTTTTGCGATTCCTTAGAGTTGGTACGATCTCTTTCTTGATTCTTTCTTTGAAAAATAGCGGGTACCTTACATACTAGGTAGATGTTGATGTTAAGTGACGTCTGTTCTGTGGTATGGTGGTGTTTTGATAGCAAGGCAAGGCAAGGCAAGGCAAGGCAATCTAGTTGGTGCTTGGGAAAAGCTTTCATTATGACGTATTGCTCGAATCTCCAACTTCTACCTACCTATTTTATAGTCGACTTGATACCCCTCATCGACTTTTAATTCTTCATACTCTTCCACGTTCAAATCAATCAACCATATAATAAATACCTCACACTATCTACATTTTCTCTCAATTCACACCAAACCCATATCAATCAATCAATCAATCAAAATGAGCTCCAACGTCGATCAACAACTCCACGAGAACCACGAGAGATTCCACGAGGGAAAGGAGAACAGCCATCAAGCACTCGACTCCAGTAAGATTTATTGAACTCTTGAAGTTTGAAGAATCACAAGCTAATCAATCAAACAGAGGATGAGAGATCCATTGCAAACAAGTTGGCTCGTGAGGAGCAACGTGAGAACGAACCTGAGGAGATGAGCAAGGAGGACAGAGCCGCAAAGGAAGATGCTACCCTCCCAGTAAGTCATTACCTATCCATCCATACATACACACTTTTGCACAATAATACTTCACTCCATACTCCATCTTATGTCGGATTTCGGTTGCATGTCTAGATGTCTGCTCTGTTCAAAACTGTACTAACATTTATGCTACTAGGCCAAGATGCACGGCAATGAGCCAAGCAGAGGTGCTACAATCGATCAACAGTTGAGAGAGGAAGAGGAGGCTGAGTTGAAGAGAAAGGGAAAGGCTTAAATGGAATGCATACCAAATGAATGTGTTACAAGCAAGTAAATGAATTTATACCCACCAGTATATTCATGGGATGATGGGTTGTCTGAAACCCCTATCGTTGGAGTTATGAAATGAGCTGGGAAACTCACTGTACTTTATAAATGCCATCATTGGCGACGAGACATGATATTATAATCAATGACCTTTTATCACTTCATCTGATGATTTTTACCCTATGCAATAGAGTATAACAGTAGGATGTCATGGAAGATTTTCAGACCGTATTGAAACCATTCTCTGATGTATTCCAATGTTGTGATGAATTGCTCAAAAATCACGGAGAAATGTTCTCTTGGAATATTGAACGAAACACTTGCTGTTGATGAATTCATGGTGATGATTTCATGAAATGTTCAATTGTACCGGGTATCCACTTAGGTAGTTGGCTAGCTCAAGATAGATACATATCAGATAATGACCGCCCTATCGCTTAGTAATCACCTCCATTCGTAAACCATCATCTTCAAACCGACAACTCCAAATGCTTTGCGCCAACCACAACGATTTTACAATTATTTAGTGGATATGATTCACTGCCATACTTGATATCGTTGTCGTACTACAGCTTCCGGGAGCTTTACTTCATTGCTTCAATAAATAAGAACAGCAATATCCATGACTTCAGGCAGATGAACTTCTGCTCATCACAACCATGGGTCAAGGTTTCTCCCTCACGACGCTCTCGGCGGGCTCTGCAGGTATTGATGTACCAGAACTCTCGGATTTGGTCTACGAAAAGTCTATGGGAACTGCCCGATTTATGAAAAGTATTCGTGCTCGTAGCCAAGATGGAGTTGTACTTGTCAAAGTTGTCGTCAAGCCTTATGCCATGGATCTCAAGAAGTACAGGAAGAAGATAGTCCGTGAGTTGTGTATATGGATTTCTTTTGATGGGATCTAATTTATTTGTATAGGAGAACGAAAAGCCCTGGCTGATGTCCCAAATGCGCTCCCCTATCAACGTATCGCGGAAACAGAAACGAATGGTTATCTTGTTCGACAATATTTATATAGCTCCCTATACGATCGCATGAGTACTAGACCTTTTCTGGAAGATATCGAGAAGAAATGGCTTGCGTTTCAACTTTTATGCGCCGTCCGTGACTGTCATGCTAGAGATGTGTTCCATGGAGATATAAAGACGGAGAATACATTAGTAACCTCATGGAATTGGTTATATCTGTCTGATTTCTCTTCTTCTTTTAAGCCAACAAACTTACCGGAAGATAACCCTGCGGATTTCTCCTATTATTTTGATACTGCCGGACGCAGAACATGCTATTTAGCTCCGGAACGGTTTTTGGCGACAGGAGAAACACCAGATCCCAAAGCACCAATAACTTGGGCTATGGATGTCTTTAGTGTTGGTTGCGTGATAGCGGAACTTTTCACTGAAGCTCCAATTTTCACATT